CGGTTGAGCTTGAATGTCCTGTGAGGGCTTCAAAGGGACACTGTTTGGTTGGAGGGGCTCGATTATTTGCTTTAGCGTTTATTTCCAAAGAGTCATAAAGCTGCCACTTGGTCTTCGTTTAAAGCCTGCAGGACTGAATGGATGAAAAGTGATTGTTTGGCAAACTAAAGCAGGACTTTACCACACAGGCCTGCCTTATTCCCTCTGAGCCATAGGGGAATAAAAGGGGCTCAGACCATATTTCTTCATTGTGAAGAAGCCATTGTCAGGAGTGGGAGGGGCTTCTATGTTTGTATCAAATCTCTTTTACCTCAGAGGTGACCCTAACCAAAACAAATGGTCATTATTGTCTCTTTTATTCCTCTGGTGCAACTGGCAATAAGACAGTAATGGCTTAGATTCGATTTGTTGATAAAGAATATCAGATTTTGGTCCAGCATTTATTTATATTCATGGTAGTGCTTTTTATTCTGCAGATTCAAAGTCAATGTTGATTCATTGTATTCAGAAGCCATGGCAACGGTCATATAACCACTGGGATTTAAACTTCATGACAAAAAACCCTGCACTGAGACCTGATTGTTACTACTGGGCGATTGCATGCTCCTCAGTAGAATATTAAGAGATCAGTGACAACCTCTTGTTATATTTAACATTTAACCTAGTGAAGATCTGAACACCCGCACTATCACTCAGGCTCTGGGTTCATTTCTATATTAGAAACAATCTTAGGCCTGTGTAGGCTGAAGGCCTGTCCTCTGCAGAACACAGACTACAGCTTTTATTTGTGTTACTGCAGCAGTGGGTGTTTCTGGGAAAGTGCTGAGTCAGGAGGAATATCCTTAGTTTAATGTCATAAAATGGTTCAGTAAGATGGATGGAGTGAGATGGATGGAGATGAATAACAGTGAAGGACGGTTTTAGGAATAATGAGGAGCAGCAGATCCAGGTTACACGAACACATGCATATCATTTACTGGAGAATTTATGTAAAGACACTACAGTCAATAGTCATGTTTTTATAGAGGTGAAGCAAAATCTCACAGATCTTCTCTGGAAAATAACTGAGAGCTACTGTTTGTTAGGTTTGAGGACCCAGGTTCTGCTACTGTAGCTACAACTCTCCACAAATCTGCTCCAAACTCTCAGCCAAAAATCTATGGTTGAGTGACAGTCTTTGAGTCATAAACTCATGGAAAAATAATGAAATGATTTATCTGATCATCTCACTGATTCATTTGATTCATAAAATTCCATTAAACTAAAAATAAAATATTTAAACTTGTTAATCGTATTATTTAGAGTCTCTTGTGAAGAAGGTCCAGGAATCCTGGACCAAAGTTGTGAAGGAGGAAGCCAAGCGGATCAGATCTGGTATTTGCCAAATGAGGCATCAATGGTGACCGTCTTTGTTTGTCCAGGTCATGCTACAGTCTTTCATAACAAGTCTTTTGTTTTCCTTTCATGTTATTCCATCAATGATTTCACTGTTTGAAGCTGGGCAGACCATCGTACACCAGTGGCTGTTTCCACTATTGATTTTTTAACTGAGGGTCAGCAATTACATCTCTGGTCCCTTCTCTCTGGTCGTAGTGAAGATAAAATACGATAAAAGAAATCAGTGAAACACACACACACACTTCCATCAGTGTGTTAATTCTGTTAGTCAAGCCTTTAACTGGGACTGTTGCCAGTCAGCACAGGCAGAATGAAACCAGAGGCTCACAAATAAGTCTTCAGTCCCGTCTAGAATAGATGCTAACAGCAAACATATGCAGAGACAAACGCATCCAACTGATTAGACTTTATGTCTTAGCAGGAGAACTGTAGCAGGTTCACAGGACAGGATCAAACTGGAAACCAGTCAGTCTGCCATCTTTGAGCACACACACACACACACACACACACACAAATGTTTCTGATGATGAATCCTACCTCACTTTATATTTAAGCAGTGTTTTCAACCATGGGGTCACCTGGAATTTAAATGAGGTTGCCTGAAATGTCTAGTAATTGATTAAAAACACCACACACCATATTAAACAACTATATTTACCACTTTCATGAACATAAATGAGCTGGTGCTAGAAAATAAAATGTGTGGACTTTGTGCTAATCAAAAACTAATTCCAGAATAATTCCTCTTGCATCGCCAGAAATGTGTGATGTCAAAATAAGGAACATGGGCCAAAAAAAGGTTGGCAACCACAGATGTAAAGATTGTCTAGTTTATGAGTTTGTTTAATGTAGCTTCATCACACCGACACAAATCCAAAGATTCTATGAG